CAAGGGCGAGATCCTGCGCGTCATCGAGATCCTCATCGACAAGATGCCCTCCGACGTGGTGGACCTGCTGGTGGAGGTGAGGCCCCGGCTCCGCCCCAGGGGCTGCTTGCCCTGTGCGCTTCGGGGCTAGAAAGGATCTGGTCTGTGTTTCACAAATTGTACATTGCTGGGGAAAATATCCCAAGCTAAAGCGGCTCAAAGCCAGGCCGGACACAGCTTGGGGGGGATGACCCTGAGATCTCAGCTGATGGTAGTTTTTGTTTGCAAGGTGATGGACATCATCATGTACTGCCTGGAGGGGTCTTTGGTTAAGAAGAAGGGTCTACAGGAATGTTTCCCAGCCATCTGCAGGTGAGCCCTTCCTACGGGAATACTGTGAAATAAATGATAGGATCACCAGCTGGATATATTTCTAATTAAGAGTGGAACGATCTTTTAGGTGACACAACAAAGAGTAAAAGGTGATTTATAAAATGGGAGCATTTCCAGTATCTTTAAAGATGAATAAATATCCCAGTCATCCTCTTAAACTGGTCCAGCCAATAAATTCTAATAATCACCTGTCAGCCATTACATTTTAATTTAATAACCTATTAAAATATGGAATACTTTCACAGAAAGAACAATTATCCCATTGCCAGGCTGGATCCTGATGGAATGATCTTCCTCCTTCCTGATGCTTTAAGTGGCTTTCCTTAAAACATAAAGGGAAGGATAAATGGGAACGAGTGCCCAATCTCCCTATTGCTGTGCATATTTATAGCCACCCAGTATTTTAAATTCTCTGCTAATATTTCCTGCTTATAGCCAGTGTAAAAATGATGCAGCACCCAGCAATGGAGAGAGCCATGGGGAAATTGCTGCAGGCCACAGCAGGTGAGGGGATCTCTGCAGAGATTCCAGGGAAGCACTGTTTTCCCTGCACAAAAACCAGGGATTCTCTTCCTTCTCTTCTGTTCTTTCTTGATTTCCCCCGTGTTTCATCCTGCCTTCCTTGCCAGCTGCCATCCTCTCACACATGGCAGTTGCTATGGCACTGGGAATCCCCAGGAACCAGCAGAGGAGTCTGAAAGGTGGCTTGTTGGAAGCCCTAAATATGCTTAATACCATTTTTGAGACTGATTTCAGGTATTTCTGGTGCATTTTGGTAGAGGGAAATTTAGCTGCAAAATTGCAGCATAATTCGGAATGCAGCTGGCACTTCCACAGGTCTGCTCTCCTGTGATAAGGCACAGTGATATCCCCAAGGATTTGGATCTGCAATTAGGATTTAGTAAGTGGTGAAATTCCTTGGATTTTGCAGCTGCTGGAATTCCAATAAATGCCCCGTGGTCACACTGGGTGTTCAGGACTATTGCAGCCTTTACCCCAAGGGTGTCACTGGAGTCCTTTTCCTTTATGCCCATCAGAAACTGATGAGTTTGCTTATTTCTCCTTCCACTTGCCTTCCTTTCTGTGTGACTTTGATGGGAAATGCCCTCAGTCACACAGGGTTACACTGTGTGGGTACACCCATGGCCATCAGGGAGCTGGTGGTTATCCCATAGATTATTCCCAAATAAACAAATCAATCTGATGGATAAATCTGATCAGGTTCCATGGTAACATCAGCTGGTTCTGTGCAATGCCAGGTGTTCCACTGGCAGCGAGTGGATCTTTAAATAATCTCTCAGCCATTAGTGAGTGCCAGATGAGTGTGAGGTGCCAGTCCCACCCCGCTGGCACCCAGATGAGTGTGCCAGCCCCAGCTCCCTGTGCCATTGTCCCCCCAGGTTCTACATGGTGAGTTACTACGAGCGCAGCCACCGCATCGCCGTGGGCGCCCGTCACGGCTCCGTGGCGCTCTACGACATCCGCACGGGCAAGTGCCAGGTGAGAGCGGCTGGGGTGACCAGGACGGGTCCTTTTCAGGGTTAGTTACTGTTCATGAGGTACAAAATATGGCCAGATGGATTACTGTGGGGTAGCACCATCTACTGGATACACATTCCTGCTTCCAAATCTGATTTTATATATAGTTTCTCACAACTGCACACTTTTCTGGCTGCTCAAAAACATGGAAAAACTTGAGAAAGCTGTGGCATTGGAGAAAAGCTCAGGGTTTTAATTTCCATTCCTGTGAGGGGGTTTTGGATCCTGAAAAGCATGTTGGGTTTGGTTTTTTTTCCCCTTCCAGATAATTTTAATTTTTTGAGAAAGGTGGCTGTAGGAACTGACTGAGAAATTACTTGGAATGATCAATAGGATGATGGATACCAAAAACCCCCCTTATTAACAAAAAATAAACCAGTATTTATCTAGGATGGGGTTTCCCCTCAGTAGAATTTACAATGTTAGTAGACTGTATTATGACTGTGCAATGCAAACACTGAATCTATTTTTCCATAAGTCCATATCCAAGCAGGTTCTTTCTCCTCCTCCCCCAGTGAAATGAGTTTGTGACCCCTCCCAGGGTGCTGCTGCTGGCTCCATGGGGTGTTTGGGGCTGGCAGTGCCCTTCCCATGGCCATTGATCTGCCCTTCAGCTGCTGGCAGCTCCCAGAGCTCCCAGGGCTGGCTGTTGATTATTCATTCCCACAGCAGCTCACAGGGTATTGACCCAGAGCCGCTCGCTGCGATGGCTCTGCTCTCTCACCCATCTCCGTGGGGCTCCTGATAAACTGCCTGGGAGCTCCTGGGAGCCTCAGCCAGCTTCTCCCTCTGGGAGCCAGCCCATCCTCAGCAGGGCATTTCCCTCTGGGAGCCAGCCCATCCTCAGCAGGGCATTTCCCTCTGGGAGCAGCTCCTCCTCAGCAGGGCATTTCCCTCTGGGAGCCTCAGCCAGGGCATTTCCCTCTGGGAGCAGCCCATCCTCAGCCAGGGTATCATGGAGGATCCAGGCCCTGCACTCAGGTGCTGTTCCACACAGCAGCAGCAGCCGCCTCACATGTTCCCCCTCTATATTCCTCCTCATATTCCTCCTCTATATTCCTCCTCATATTCCCCCTCATATTTCCCCTCACACATTCCCCCTCCGTCTTCCCCTTCACACATTCCTGCTCAATATTCCCCCTCACATATTCCTCCTCCATTTTCCCCCTCACACAATCCTGCTCCATATTCCCCCTCACACATTCCCCCTCACATATTCCCGCTCCATATTCCCCCTCACACAATCCTGCTTCATATTCCTCCTCACCCATTCCCCCTCACACATTCCTGCTCCATATTCCCCCTCACACAATCCCCCTCACATATTCTCCTTCCATATTCCTACCTACATGTTCCCCCTCACACATTCCTGCTCAATATTCCCCGTCACATATTCCCCCTCCATATTCCCCCTCACACAATCCTGCTCCATATTCCCCCTCACTCATTCCTCTTCATATTTCCCCTCACACATTCCCCCTCCAATATTGCCCCTCCATATTCCCCCTCACTCATTCCTCCTCCATGTTCCTGCTCCATATTCCCCCTCACACATTCCCCCTCACATATTGTCCCTCCATATTCCTACCTACATGTTCCCCCTCACACATTCCTGCTCAATAT